TCCTCCTGGACCTCTGATGAGTGACGTACACGGACGTTCACGGAAATGGAAGAGACGAGGCAGGTATTTCTTCTGCCACGCACCCCCGTGTGCGGAGCAGGTGCCACCCGTGGTCCTCCTGCCCCAGGTCTGCTCCCCAACCTCCGCCATCCAGGTGACAGCTGCCCCCGTGAGCTCAGCATCTGACCCAAACCACGAAAGCTGGCCTCTGCTCCGCCCAGAGGGGCCTGTGTGCTGCGGGGAGGGCGGTCGGCTCAAGCAGCTGCAAACCCGCCCCAGTGAACCTCATCCCACACCTGCCGAGCCAGACCGCACGCTGGGGCCATCGGGGGCCACTGGGTGAAGGGTCACCGTGGCTACCATGTACTGTGCCAGGAGCTTGGCCCTGGAAACTTCTCGGTCTGGCAGACTAGGAAACCTCCTGGAAAGAGAGGGCAGGGGCAGTGATGTGATTTATACAGCTAGAGGAGTGGAGCTGACCCCCAAGCACTGCCCTCTGCTCCCCTGCATCCCCCACAGAAAGGCCCTTCCCTGTCACCCAGACATCGTGCCCTCTTACCGCGAGGCAAACCAGGACCCGGTGGAGGGGGTGGTCTGTATGAGGCCAGGCAGCCGGCTCAGGTCAGCCCAGAAGGGACCCCGGGCTTCCTCCTCCGCTACCCCCATGCTCCCGAGACTCCGGGCTCCCCTGGCCAGGCCTGCACATCCGGCTGCCCCAGGGCAGAGCTGGGGTCCGGGGGCGCCTTTCCAGGCAGGTGAGGTCCTTCTTCCCACTGTAGGCCCCTCCTTCCTCTGCAGGCTCCTCCGTCCCATAAGGGTTACAATTCCCGGCTGTGTCTCGGTGGCCTCGCGGTGGCCTTGCCAAAGCCTGGCTGCGGCCCCTCCTCACGGGGGAGACCTGCGAACAGGCAGCCCAGCCAAGCGCAGAGCCCAGCCTGGCGTCTGAGTGCACAGAGCGTGCCCCGAATGGTTCACGGCGCTGCAAACCAGCGTAGGTGGGAAGAGGGTCCTTCCAGGTCTCCAGATCTCTGAGGGTCGTGGCCTCTGGTGATGTGGATGCCATGTTCCACAGGAGTGAGGGCAGCCTTCCCAGGCCACTCCAGGGCGGTGGAGCTGACCGCCGTGGGTCAGGGTCTCCTGGAGTGGCAGCCAAGGGCTCTGTGGTCAAAGGGGAGAGTGCTCATGGGCAGGCAGCCAGGCGCTGGTGCCTCGTCATCCCACCCTGGCCCGTGGTGGCTGGACCCGGCACAGTGAGCCACCCATACTCCCTCCGACCCAGGGCCCCCCTGGCAGCCACAGAATCCCACAGGTGACCGCAAGACGCAAGCCGACTGGGTGGAAACGGGCATCAGTGCGCGACCTGAGTGGGAGGGCGTGGTCTCTGAATTCCTGGGAAGCACCATGGCTGACCACTGGGGACCTGCCCGGATTCATTAAAAATATGTCATGCTAGACTTACTGCATTTTAAAAAATCAATCAATTATTTATTTAATAAATATTTAGTGAGCAAGCCTATGTGCCAAGAATTAAGCTAGACCCCAAGGATGGAGTTGTGAACCATGCAGATGTTTCCCCAGGTTTGCATTGGCAACATTCTAAATGGGGCTTGGTGGGGGTCTGTGAGGGTCAGGAAGGAGATGACAGACAAAAACCATGTGCCCCGGGTCACGATGGGGTGAAGGTTTTGTGCAGCCCAGGAACTGGCCGGCAAGGTGGCTACTTTAAGTGGGACATCAGGATGGCCGCGCTGCGGGGGAGGCACGCCATGAGCCTGCTGGGTCAAGAAAGTGCCCATGTGCAGCATTTCTGGAGTGCGGAAGCTTGGGGAGAGCTCCTCAGATGGTATTTGCTGAAACACATTATATGTTTATTCTGTGGCAGACCACAGGCTACACATGTCATGACATCGGGTCACCAGCAACCCTTCCACCACACTGTGTGTTTCATGCTTCCCCTGCCTGGAATGGCGCCTGCTCCCTACAGCCCCGATAACGCCGACTTCTCCTCTAGGAGTCCATGGAAATGTCACCTCCTCCATGAGGCCTCCCCTGAATTCCTCCAAACTTTTGGTGTCATATGCATCCATGCACACCCTGCTATTTGCCCTCCCAGCGGCCATCATTCTCCTTGTGCTTTGCTACCCCCAGAGGAACACTTTTGACCACGTGGTGATGAGCTTAAAGCTACAGCCTCCCAACGGACACAGCAGAGCTCCTTCTTTGTTGCACATGCTCACTTTGTGCATTATTTCATTGTCCCATTCTTCACACTGGAAACTCTTTGAAGAGATCCCTCCTTCTTTTCAAAGAGGCTTCAGTGTTCAATACTAATGCAATGGACGTCTTGCTCAGTGAATAAGTGAAAACATGGGTGGATGGAAGGATGGGTGGATGGATGGTTGGGTGGATGGATGAATGGATGGGTGGGTGGGTGGATGAATGGATGGGTGGGTGGAAGGATGGATAGATGAGTGGATGGATGCATGAATGGATGGATGATGGATGGGTGGGCGGATGGAAAAAAGAAAGGATGGATGAAAGGATGAATGGAAGGATGGATACATGGGTGGATGGACAGATGGAAGGATGGATGGGTGGATGGATGGATGCATGGATGGATGGATGGGTGGGTGGAGGGATGGAAGGATGGGTGGATGGATAAGCCAGCAGGTAATATGAAACTAGGAGACAATGTAAATACTTGGGGTTCAGTCCCTGGATCCACAAAGAGAGGAGCAGATGGGGTCTAAACCCAAAGACAAGAGGTGGGATTGAAGTGGGAGCAGATGGTCTGGTCCCTAGTCCCAGACCTGCAGGGAGGGGGAGGCAGTGCTCTGCCAGGGGTAATTGGATGTGTCAGTACCACGGTGGGACCCCCACAGAGGTCCTCGTGGTATTAGGTACCTCCTGGGATGTGGACAAAGATGACATGCGGACCACTGTCAAACAGTTCTACCCGTGCAGACGTGACAGCTGTGAGGCAGAGCTGTCGGGAGTGACAGCTAGTCCAGGCGGCCTCCTCATGACCTCTTGTCTGTCACCTCATCCCAACTCTGAAACACCCCTGGCTGTCTGGACACCTGACAGGTGGTCCGAGCCCCATAACCAAGCCCTTGTCCACCACTTCCTGGCTTTCATCCTCCTCCTTCCTGCTCCACATGTCTCCCAGGTCAGCAGACGCCCTTACCTGTGCCCCCCGAAGAGGCTGCATGGCATGCCCCTGGAGGGCTGTGCACAGCAGGTGCAGTGTGGCATGGGGCACAGAAGTGGCACAGACACACAGTGGACGGCTCTTCTCTTGTCATGAAGCAACTTTCCTCCCTGGCAGTGGCCACAGGGGACTTCCTGGCTGAATGCTGTCCCCGGTGACCTCCCAGAGGGACTGGGCTAACAACACTCCCCTGAGCTCTGCTTGCTGGGAGCGTTGGGCATTTATCCGCCTTCGGGCCACAGGAGCTTCCTCTGTAAAATGAGCCGGTGAAAGCAGCCCCTGACCTCCTGTGAGCCCCCAGGGAGATAATGGGCAGGGGGAGGGGGCCTGGACCAGCGTCGCCAGCATGATCCTCTGCACACATCCACAGTCTGGGAGGGATACACGTGGGGCTATTCTGCAAAGCTGGGAATGCCAGGGCAGTGCCGGATGTGGGTCTCACCCCGGTACCCTCGCCCAGTGTCCTCAGGGCTCCGGGGGGTGCTGACTCTATACTGACTCTGGGGCTTGGCTGGGCGAATGTCAACAAGTCCCCTTCCCCTCTGGGTGCCGCTTGGCTGACCTCCACGAAGCGGGGGCTCCAACGGGTCCCAGTCTCATCTTTCCTTGCCCGCCCTGCACCTGTTGCAAACAGGCTCCTCAGAGTCTTGCCAGGCAGCTCTGCCCCTAGCGGTTGTTGGAGGCATGAAACTCCCCTTTCAGGAAGACAGGGTTAGAGCCTGGCCACCGCCACCTGCTCCTGCAGCCTCTGCTGCTGGTCCTCAGCCTCCCGGAGCCTCTAGCCGCGGGTGCCGGGTGAGGACAGGGCCCGCTGGTACATCCGCAGGGGGGTGTCACTGTGGCCGGGGGACTTCTGAGGGGCAGGGGCAGGGGAGAGGCGTTGAGGGGAAATCCTTAGGGTTGGATCCAGTCCTTATTTAGAGGGGGATTGTGGATAGCAGAGTGATTGTATACCTGTGTGTCCGTATCAGAGCCTGTCCGCCTCGTGTGTCACATACGAGTGCCTGTGGGTCAGTGCCTAGGCCAACTCCACACCAGAGTGTGTCTGTTAGTGGTCTCTGGTGTGGGGCATGGCAGGAAGGAGTGGGTCGGCCCTGAGGGTGGAGGGTCCGTGTGGGGGCAGTACAGTAGTAGCAGGTGGCAGCACCCTGAGTGTGCAGGCTTGGGAGGTGGTGTCCGTGTGTCTGCTCGTGGGGTGGTGATTCCATGTGTCCGAGTCCAGCCGTGGATGGGACAGTGACCCAGTGTGTGTCTGTGTTGGAACCAGAGTACCACCAAGTGTGTGACCCTGTGTGACCCTGTGTGACCCTGTCACAGCGTCCTGGGTCACCTGTGAGTGAGTGGGACAGAGCACAGGATGTGTCTGCGGAGCTGGGAACAGGGATGCGGTGTGTCCTGCCGGGCGGTAGTCTGTCCTCTGTCTGAGTGAGTGTGGCAGTGCCGCGTTGTGTATACGTGTGCCGGAGTGTGAGCACCAATGCACTGCTGGGTGTGTGCATCACGGGGGGGCGGCGTGCGTGCGCGTGTGCACCCGTGTGCACGCGCCCGGGCAGCTCACGCGCGTCCTTGCTCCGCCCGGGTGGCCGGGCTCGCGGGCCAGGTCCGGGCGCGGCCCCCGCCCCCAGCCCGAACCCCCCTCCCACGCGGCGGACGGAGCGGCGCGGGCGCCTCTAGGACCCGGCGGCCGGCCGCTGTCCCCGGGCCGCGCGAGTGAGCATGTGCAGAGCCCGCGGCCCCCCGCGCCCGCCCCCCGCGCCCGCCGCCGCCCGCCGCCCGGAGCCCCCGAGCCTCTGCCTGGAGGCGCGTCGGGCCGCTCGCGAGGGCGCGGGGGCTGCGCGGCTGCGGGGCCGGGGCTCGGACTCGGTGCCCGGGAGCGGGCGCCCCAGCCGGCCGCGATCACCGGGTGAGTCCTGCCCCCGGGCGCGCCGCCGGGACCCCGCCCGGACCCTCGTCGCTCCTTCCCAGCCTCCCAGCCGCCCGCGAACAAGTTTGTGTAGACGCGGCCGGCGCGCGGCAGGGCTGCACCTGCCTGGGCTCGGGGCGGCTGGCGGGGGCGCCTCTGGGGCCGGGGCGGGGAGTGGGGTGCGCGCGGGCGCCCGGGGAGGGCGCGGGGTGCACCTGCTTGGCTCGGGCGACCGGCCAGGGCGAGGAGTGGGGGAGCACGCGTGGGGGCAGCGATCGGGGCCCCGGGGTGGGCGGGGGCGCGCAGGGCAGCTTTGGATGCGTTCTACACCCGCCCCTAACCGCCCGTGTCCGTGGAAGGGAGGCCGTGGGCCGCGGCAGTGGGCGAGCGCGCGGTTGGGGTGCGCGCTGCCTCTCCGGGAGGAGCCGCGTCCCCGGGCAGCTCCCCTTGCTCCGCGGCCAAGCCAGGCTTCCGGCCGGCGGAGGGCTCCGTCTGCCTCTCCGGGAACTTGAACCGAGGCAGAGAAGAAGGCGAACCGTATTGCTGGTGCATTTGGTCTGGAAAATATCCCCAGCAGAGCCGTGCGCCCCCCCAGGTGGGGACCGACACGGGACTGGGGGCTGCTAGTTGTGTTTTTCCTGTGTGTCCTGAGCCTCAGGGTGGCCAGTCGATGGGGGGGGGGGTGTCTGCTGGTCCTCCCCAGGGAGGTAGGGGCGCAGAGGTCCAGCTGTCCATCTCTGGGCAGGGGGAGGCTGGCACCGGGTCCGGCTCCCTCCCCACCGGCAGGGAGTGACTGTCCACACCGGCCCTTCCAGGGCTGCCCCAGACAGACAGCCTGGGAAATCCACTGTACTTTCCTGACCGCAGCAGATGCCACCACCCTTTCTATGGCCTGAACGGCGTGCTTGGGTTTGTGGAGTCACTGGGGCCATCCCTGGTTGGGCCGTCCTGGGTCAGGTCAGGAGATGGGGCCTAGGATATGGGGTTAGGGAAGCTAGGGCTGGGGTGGGGGTGGGGGGGTGGAGAGGACAGAAAGGCTGGCCAGCCTTGCTGTGTGCAACAGCTCCTTCCTGAGGGCTGCAGGTGCTGGACAGGAGGCAAGGGGGGCTCCCCCAAGGATACCCCTCACCCCCCATCACACACTGTCTCGGAAGTCCCTGGGAGACGGTGCCCCCATGGACCGCAAGAGCCCTGGATCCTGTGAGGAGCGGCAGGGAGCACGAATGTTGGTCTCCCGAGCACACTCGCGGTCAGGGCAGCTAGGCAGGCTGCTGGGCTGGTGGGCTGAGCCCGGGGGTGGGGGTGCCCGCAGACCCCACCTGCAGCTGCACCTCCCATCCTCAGCATGAGATCTCCTAACTCCTCTGGAAGGATGCTCAGTTTGGGGTAAGCACACCCCGCTGTCCAGAAGGTGTGGGGGCCCTGCGGGGTGTGGCCCATGGCCTTGCAGCACACCCGGCTGGAAGTGAAGTGAAGCTTAGGTTAGGCAGAAGGCCAGGCCCTGTCCCTTCCCTCCTGTCCACCTCACCAGACAGAAGGGGATGATGCTCTGGGCTCCCAGTTGGTGGGCCGCCAAAGCCCAAGTGTCCGGCCAGGTCATTGAAGGGCCAACACTGGGGAGTGAGTCACGGAGCTGGTTCCTGTGGAGTTGGCCCAGCACCCCACGCCTGGAGGCCGCACTGAAATCCTGCTGAGCAGGCACTTGTGAAGGGCTGCTTCCCTGGTGGGCAGTCCGGCCTGTGCTTCCATCCGGCTCAGCCCGAGGGCCACCCGTCCCTCACGAGCTGCACTGAGGTCAGGGCCCAGGAGTGGGCTGGGTGCAGGGTGGACCCTCGGGGACGTCATCCAGGGATGCGCCTGACCCGCATGCCCACCAGCGGGCCACCCTGCTCACCTGGGGAGTGCGTGCGTGACCATACCCTGTCCTTGGGCCTCCAGGCCTTGTTGTCACGTGGTTTCTTCTAACCTTTCCTTGCTGGTGTTGATGGGCTGCCTGCACGGTGTTCATGAGTGTGCCACTTTTGGAGAATGTGGTTGGAGAGGAGCTGCCTGCCCTTGTGGATGGGGGACGCGGATGGGGGAACAGGCTGGGTTAACTTAGGGGGTCAGAAACAAGGCGCACCTATTGGCTACGGGGTCCCCTTCCTTCTGCGTGGCTTCTCTTCCCCGTGAAGACGCTGGGCAAGGTGAGCCCCTCCGGGAGGGTGGCCCTCTTGGCCCGAGGCCCGCAGGGTTCTGAGGGCAGGAGCGCCCCGGGCACCCTATCCTGTAGCGACTGCAGGGCGGGGCTGAGGTTGCGGGTTCCACACACTCGCCCAGGCACTTCCGAATCGCTGGGAGGGATTTGAAGAAGCATGTGAACAAACAAAATGGGGTTCTCCAGGAGCAGGGCCCCGCGGTAGCCCAGATGGGTTGTGACAGGCTGCTTCGGGGAGCGTTGGGCTCCCGTCAGCCCGCAGAGGAGGGGAGTTGGCAGCCCCCACGGTGGCTCCCCGCTGTCTTTCTGGATCTGCACCGTGGGGCTCGCCCGGATGTGGGCTGCGTGGTGTGTGCGGCACATCGGGAAGCGCGGGTCTGGTGTAGTGAGCCCTCAGTGAACGCTGGGTGTGGACGCGGGCCCTCTCTGATTCCCTCGTTGGGGGCTGATGGAGAGGTGGCTCATTCACGCCTGAGCGAGCGGGTCATTCCACGCACGTGGAAGCACCCAGTGGGCTCTGGGGCTGGGTGTGAGCCGCGCTGGTGGGAACCTCAGCATCCCTCCTCCCCATCACGGTGCACACAGTCTCCACCTTCCTCTTATGTTTTATGCCCTCTTAGCAGCTTTTCTTATTTTGGGCTTTTTCATTGAAGTCCTGCATTCAGATCAAAGTACCTGGGTCTTCAAAGCTGGGGATCCCCACCCCGTTCCCATTTCCCAGACCTTGTCCCGCCCGAGGGCCCAGACATTTAACGTCAGGGAGTCCTTTGCTCTTTGGTCTGAGCCTCCAAGATGCAGAGGCGTGGGCACCAGGGTGAGGGCGGCTGGGGGCACAGATCTGCTGGGGGTCTGTCCTGCACCCCACCCAGAGTGGGGGGGGGCCCAGGCTGGGAGGAACCGTGGGGAGAGCAGCGTGGAGCCCTGACTCCAGGCAGGATGCATCACCCAGGTGTGGTTTACCCAGCATCCCTGTCCCACAGTGGGGCTCTGGGGGAGCGACTCTGCCACAGATCAGGAAGGCTTCCTGGAAGGGGTGGCACTGAAGCTGAGCCTCGATGGTCACAAGGCATTTCAGAGTTATGTCAGGGTTACAGGCCCCCCCAGCCCGTGGAAGAGCATGTGAGGGGACCCCACGTGACACAGCCCACGCTGGCCAGGAGACACTGTGCTCCGGACGCAGCCTTTCCAGAAGGGGCCCCGACGACCTTGAGTCTTGGGGAGTCGCCACGAGGGGCAGCAGCACTGGTTCTTCCTGTGAATGAGGCCACCGTACTGGGCTTTGGTGATGGCAGGGAGCTGAGTGCGTGGAGGCTGGGCTGGAAGCGGGGACAGGCAGTGCCTGGCTGGGGGCTCCCCAGTGCCGCTCCCCACCCCCTGCCCTGGGTCCCAAGGCTGAGGACACCCCCCATCCTGCAAGCTGGAGCTCTGAGTGGCCGGGACCCCATGGCCCATCTCCTGGGGGACAGTAGCATGCTGGGCCCCGGGCCTCCATCTGTACAGCTCTCGCTCCCTGGGGAGGGTAGCTCTGAACCTGGGGTCAGGAGGGGGCTCCTGCCAGCTCTCCTTCCAGCCCCCAGGTCCCAGGGGCTGCCTGCTGTCCTCTCCCCATTGCCCCCACCCCCCGAGAGGCAGGCACCTGTCCACCCCCTGACACCTGTCCACCCGCAGGCTGGGCACCTGCTGCCCCCTGAGGCCCAGACAGCAACAGAGCAACAGGAGAGGGCCCCAGCTCCCCCGGGATCCCCAGGAGCTCCGTGCCCCCTTACCCTCTCCTCCCCCAGGCCTGCCCTGGTCTGGGCGGGGCAGTGAGCATCCACCTGTGTCCAGCCCCGGGACAGGCTGAGCCCCCCACCCCCTCCTGATGAGGGCCTGGGTGAGGTCCCTAGAGCACCTGCTTGATTCCAAGATGGGAAAACTGACCCAGGCCCCCAGCGGAGGGGCCCAGGAGCTGGCACACTCACCCACACACTCCCTCACATGGCAGCGTCTGGGACGCTGGGCTTGGGGCACACCGGGCACGACACCTGCGGCTCGGACCTGGCGTGATTTTAGGGAGGTGCTGATGGAAGCGCGTGGGAGTCCTTGCATGCAGCGGGCGCAGGGCGGGCTCCAGAGCAGGTGGCCCAGGCGGGGGGCGTGCGGCCCTGTGGTCCGATGGCAGGCAGTGGCCTCACCCCACGGGGCGTGGGGGCTGCAGCTCTGGGGTGGGGGAATGCCGGGCACCCACGGCGGTGGGGTGGGGATGACCGCGGTCCAGCTGGGATCTTTCCTCACATGGGAGCAGCTGCCAACAGGGTGGTTTCAGGCAAGGATGGGGCACCAGGCCTGCCCCAGGCAGTGGGGGTACGAGGGACACCAGAGGATGGGTCACACCTGCCGCGGCCCCTCCTCTGGCTCTTGCTCCCTCATTTGCCTCCTTGGTGTTCGTAACTTCTCAGGAGCAGGAGTTTCAATGGCAGGGCTGAACTAGCTGCCCCACATGGCAGTTGAGGAGCCTGGGCTCCGTCCTGAGCAGCACCTCACCCCCGGGGCTGTGGGGTGCCGCAGGCACCGCTGATGGGTGCTGACCTGGGCGGTCAGGCCATGCTGTGGGGCTGACCCTGCGCCTCCCCCACACTCCTTGGAGCCGCCCTCCCTGCGGGCTGCGTGCAACACATCTGGTGGGATGGGTCCCTGCTGGAGGGGCTGCTGGCCTCAGGGAGGGTGGGCATGGGTGGGGAGGAGTGCGGAAGTCCAGGGTGGGGGACCCTCCCCTCCACCCCCCACAGGTGTTCTGGGCTGGGAGTCGGCCTTATAATGGAGAGTTTAGGATGGCGGCCTGCTTTATAGGACCTCAGGGGCCGTCCCTGCCCCAGACGCAGCCCCTCCCTGCCAGGAGGCCCTCTGGGATGGGTGACTACAGAGGTGGGGTCCTGGGGGAGCCTAGGGGTGATCCCTGGCTCTGCGAGCGCCCACCCACCATGTGTGGCTTGTGGGAGCTCCAAGCTGTGACCATGCATTCACAGTGCTAACCCGCCACCCCCTCCGCCCCATCTGCCCCAACCCCTTCCCTCCACAGCCAGAGTCTGGCTATGTTCATTTTAGAGGGTTTTTCACAGACAGAACCCCAGGTTCATCAGCAGAAGCCTTTTGCAAGCAGACCCGAGACCCCCTCCCTAGAATGACAACACGGACAGGGGTCCCACCTCATGGCTCCTGCTGCCTCAGGGTCCTGGCTGCTGGGTGTCGGCGCTTGCCCCAACTCCCCCACATTCGGGCGCGGCCTGAGAGCTTGGAGCCCCTGGACCCCACAGGGGGAGCAGCTTCTCGACCTGAGGATTTGCCTCTCAGGTCATCCTCTCCTTCACCTTGAAGAGCGTACTCAGAAACGAGGATCGCTGCGTGTACAAGGCCGGGCAGGCTCTGCGCTGGGGTCGGGGTTGCAAACATGAGCCGGGCACAGGATCTTGCCTGGAGCTGGTCACAGGCCAGTGTGGGTGATCCACAGCTTTCTGGGCGGGGTCAGCTGTCGCCGGGTGCTGGGTGCTGGGTGCTGGGCCGGGGGTCAGCCCAGGCTGTGGGACGGCAGAGGAGTCTACCCCAGTGTGTGCATGTGGTGGCAGTGGGGTGGTCAGGGAAGGCTCCCTGGCGGAGGTGGCACCCAGGCTAAGCCCTGGAAGATACCCAGGGATTCACTGGGCCTAGAGGGTGGATGAGGCCCAAGAGGAGGCAGCAGAGACTGTGTGCTCAGGCGGCTCCCTTCATCTGGGTGCATGCATCCCTGTGCGCAAGCCCCGGGCCTGGGGCGGGATGAGCTGGTTGGAGCCTGGTGTTTATCCCAGAGCCCTGGGGTGGGGGTTGTGAGCACGGCAGCACCCGTGAGCAGGTGTGCATCAGGAGGGTGGCCCTGGCTGCCTCTCGGAGCAGGAGGCACGGAGATCAGCGGGGATTTCTGGGGATTTTCTCTGTGGTCTTACAAATCCGATGGGGCAGGGAGAGCCTGGAAGACCTGCTGCAGCCCCCCACCCTGCACCGTTGGCCCAGGACCTGCCCACACCCCACCCCTGGCCCCCAGGATATGCACAGACCCTGCCCCCCACCCCAGGACCTGCCCACACCTCCCCACCCCCTAACCCACCCCTCCCCCTCTGGTGATGGGAGGGGGTAGGGGGTGGGAGGGGGGTGGCCCCATGGGCTCTGGGGGCGGGCTGCTCTGGCTGCAGAGTCTTCTCCCAGGATGCCAGCCCCTAAGAGCCCAAACACCTCTTTTCTGCTCATGCTGGGCTGGCTGAGCCCCACGCACAGAGCGACCATTGAGGGGCTGCGGGCCTGGCGGGGGTCCCAGGCCGCGTTAGTCACGCTCCCAGGAGCTTTTCTTCCTGGGACAAGACTGTCCTTGTGCTCAGGGCCACCCTCGCGCAGCGGCCGGGCTCCCCGCAGCTGCAAAGCCCCCGCCGCCCCAAGAACCGAGCAGCGCACTTGAGAGGCGCCACCGCAGGAGCCTGGGCCAGCGCGGGGCGCCCTCCTGCCTTCCTGCCAGGTGCCCACCTCCCAGATAGCAGGTGCGTGCCCACACCTTCTCCCCTGCTCAGCCCAGTGGCCACTGCAGAAGCAGTTTCTAGAACAGTTTCCCGTCCTGAGGCACCCCCAGTGGGGACTTGGCAGGCCGTTCTCATGCATGGGGCACCTGCTGCATATGGGTACCTTGACTCCTCTGCCGGCTGAACGACTCAGCAAACTATCTTTGCCTCCAATCGCCTTGCCTGTAAAATGGGGCTCCTACCCCTTCCGCCTTGCTGGGCTGCCCCGGAGTCAGTGCTCAGGTCAGGGCCTGGCTGGTGGAGTCTGTCACAGTCCCTCTGTCGCAGGATCTACTCAGTTGTGGGGGTGGGGGTGTCATTCCCCATTGGTGGGGAGGCTGAGACTGGAATAACTGCCCCGGGGCACACGGCCGGCAGCTCGCAGGGCTGGGCCTGGAGCCCTTCACTCTGTCGGTGCATCCACAGCACAGGTGTCCCATGGGTAAACTGAGGCAGGAGCCTCAGTGCCCACCCCCCCACACACACACACCATGGCATCTAAGCGTGCTCTTTCTGCTCTTCCAGATTCCGCAGCCGGGGATGCGTGTCCGTGAAGCTCAGCGATGGTGAAGCTGGTGACACAGGGGCAGAAGCCACAGCTGCGGGGCTCTGTAGCCAGAGACGCGTAATGCTGCCCCCAGCGCACCTGCTGACCCTGAGGAGCACAGGCGGGCACCGGGATGCGGGGATGATGCCTCTGGAGGCCCCGGCCTCCCTCCCACCCGGGCGTTAGGAGCCGTGCCCAGGCTCCAGCCGGGAGCCCTGCTGTCCCGGGGGCATGGCCAAACCCTCCTTCCGGCTGCAGAAGCTGCTCCGCCGCACCCAGTTCCTGCTGTTCTTCCTCACGGCCGCCTACCTGATGACCGGCAGCTTGCTGCTCCTGCAGCGAGTCCGCGTGGCCCTCCCGCCGGGGCCCCGCGCACCTGGCCCCCTGCAGGCCTTGCCGGTGGCCGCCGTGGCGCTGGGCGTGGGCCTGCTGGACAGCCGGGCACTGCAGGCCCCCCGTGTCAGCCCAGAGCTGCTGCTGGGCGTGGATGTGCTGCACGGGCCCCTGGCGCGGCCCCGGCCTGGGCCCCGCTGGCTCCGCGGCCGAAACTCGGAGCTCCGCCAGCTGCGGCGCCGCTGGTTTCACCACTTCATGGGCGACCCCCAGGGGCCGCTCGCCCCAGGCCCCGAGGCTCCCAGGCCCGCCGCTGGCAGCCGAGGTAGGTGCTCCCCAGTGGGCCCTCCCCTGCCCAGGGCAGCTCCCAGGACCCCGTGAGGCCCCACAGGCCCACTACTCCCATCTACATCCTCAGGAGTCCTGCTGTCACCTGACAGGCCCCACATCCCCGAGCGCGTGTCCCGGCTTTGTGGCAGGCTTGATGGTCAGGTGGACATGTCCCCCAGCATCCCCGGGGCCCCGAGGCAGCAGGGACAGAGACTAGGGCCCCAGGGCTGCAGCCTCCCCCAGAACTCGGGGCACGAGCCACGTCTGCACAGCAGTGTCAGCAGGTGATGGTGGCTCGTGCAGGCTGAGACCCCAGGATGGGAGGGCCTGGAGCATCTGTGGGCACTGGGACCTGGCAGCTGTATCTTGTCTGTAACCAGCTCCATCATTTGGCATTTATGGTGTGTGTATAAATGTACCACATGCAGGAATTACTGTAATGGTTGGATCCCGATCCCACGGGGGAAAACTCTAGGGTGCAGAGGTTCAGGAAGGTCCCGCCATCACCCTCCCCTGAAGCCCTGGCCTATCTGGGGTGTGACCCCAGGTGCTGGCAGGGAATGGAGAGGGAGCCAGGGAGGGGAAGGTGGCAGAGGAGGGATATGGAGGGCAGAGTGCGTATCTGGGAGTGCAGCCTGGAGGCAGTGGGTCAGGAGGAGAGCCAAGCCTGGCAGTCTGGCTTTATCCTCAGGATGATGGGAAGGTCCAGGGACAGGGAGGAGCCCTGGGCCCTCGTGATGGTGAGGGAGGCCCAGAGAACGGCGGGCTCCTGACATCACAGAAGGGTGTTTCTCCGGAGGTGATCTAGGTCAGAGCCCTGTGCTGTGGGATTCATCAGTGGGGCTTCCCCCAGGCTGGGGGGGGGGGGGGGGACACCGATGGTGCCTGCAGCCCACTGTGTGCAGGCCTGTCTGCTGAGTGTAAGCCTGCCCTAGCACCTGGGAGTCTGGGTCTCCATGCAGCCTATACTACCCTGCCTCGCTCAGACTAGAGTATGAACAACTGCCAGTCAGCATGGAGTACTTGGGGAGCCGCCGTGAAGAAGCACAGGTGTTGACAATGGACCTGAGCTTGTCTCTTGGTGCTGGGGCCACTGGCTCTGTGACCCTGGGCAGACTGGTCTGCCCTTCTTGGGGTTCCACGTGTGAGTCTACTAGGCTCTGTGCACTTGAGACCTGGGGGGAGGTCTTTTATGACCTGGCCCTCAGAGGGCAGGGCAGGGGTGACCCTGTAGAGCCCCAGGGATCTCCCCCTAGTGAAGGGGTGGACGGGGTACACCAAACCATGCTCAGGCCCAGAGGGTGGCGGTGCACTGCGGTGTGGGATGGTCAGCACAGTGACTGCCAGGAGCACCCGGGACCAGCGCAAGGAGGGTGAGTGGCCCGCTCAGCAGGAGCATGTGGGCGGCCCCCCACCCCCACCCAGGACAGGAGGAAGCATGTGCACCCTGGGGATAGAGGGGGCATCCTGCAGAGCAGGGGGCCGCTGGCCTGTGATCCCACCCCCCACCCCCTGGAGCTTGTCAGGAGCATGGTGCGCCCCCGGGCCAGCTGCTGGGGCTACAAAGAGCGTGGCTCTTTGCGGCTGGGCAGGCGGCCACGCTCCTGGCCGGGGATCCTGCGGAGCGCGGAGGCTGCGGGAGGCCCATCCATCACCCGGCATTTCATTATACCTTGGACAACGTCCATAATGGAGTAAAATGTCAGGAAGTTTACTAGGGGAGAAATAGTAACTTCCCACCGCCAGTTTGTTTTTTATTGATAGTGATTCCCAAAGACGTTCCAATATCTCCAAAGCCATCGTTAACGGCCTCGCGGCGTGTCCGTGTTGATGTGCAAATGAACAGTTGCGGAGTCACAGACAATAATGCGCTGCCTCCGTTTTAGCTGAAAGCAATAAATCCGCCTCAGAATGTGTCCCAGCGTGTCCCCCGGATGTCCTCTCCCCGCCGCACACCCTCGCCTCTGTCAGAGCTGGAGGAACCATTCGGTATTTTTCCAGGAGGGAGGGCTCACCTCCTCTTCCAAACAGAGCAGGTGCGTCGGTCTCAGGCCTGGTGCGCGGCCCGGGGTACGGCGTGTGGAGAGCCCGACCTTGGAGTGTTTCCTCCCATCTCACGCATGTGGGTCATGGGCCGAGTATCCTGTGACGGTTTCCCGTCCCCGGAGTGGGCTGGGTCCCCTCCGGGTGGCACCAGAGCATAGGGAGCACACCCAGCTACACCCACTGAGTCCATCCCTGGAGTGAAGGAGGTGGTGCCCCTATCTCAGGGAGAAAGGAGTCCAGTCAGGAGGGGATGGCGCCCCGTTTGTCATTCACAGTGAACCCAGTCCCACTGGGTGCCACCTTGCACAGACCCCGCCTGCACGTGACCTCACCCTCTCCACCCTCCTGAGCCCGCCCCTCACAGGTGGGAGCAAACTCATGCACAGACTCATGCCCTCCTGCCCCCAGACAAGTCCCACCTCTGCCAGCCAGGCCCCGGGGCCTGGAGCCCTGACCCCCAACTTGGTCTTGGGTGATCTCCCATCAAGGGCGACAAATGTTCAACGTGCCGTGGGCTTGGGTTTGGGGTTTAACTGAAAGCTGTAATAGGATCTCTTTGCTGAGCAACTCTCTAGAAATGTCTTCAATGAGGATTTTCTCTCCCCAAGTAGGTGACTGGGGATGGCATTTCCCTGCAGTGGGGGAAGGGTGGTGCTGGTCTCAGGGGGTCCCCATGCGGCCATGACCCCGGGGGCCCACATCCCGAGTGAGAGCCGGGGCCTGTGGACGCTCTGGGTGAGGGGCATCCCAGGGTGAAGGTGAGGGTGCACAACCTGCGGGAAGACACTGAGAAGGTGACCTCGGCTGCACCCTCCACGGCATCCCCCTCGGTGACCCTGGCCTGGTGGGGTCCTGCCCCTGGCCACCCACTCACCTCCCGCTGCTCTGCATCTATTAGTTGGGGCCTGGGAGCCGCGGGCAGGTGGCGGGCAGACCCTCTGGGCCCCTCCCCGTCCTTGCAGGACTCACCTAACCCTGGGGCCCTGACCCACCTTGGACAGTGGGTGCTTGTGCCAACGGTGTGCCGGGCCCAGTGGGGACCCTGGTGGACGCAGTGGCACCCGTCAGGGACAGGCAGGAAACAGAGGGAGGTTATGGGCAGGGGGAAGGCATAGGTCCATGCTGGGGGCAAGGGAAGTGGCTCGGGTGGGGTGGGGCAGGTGGCAGGCCTTTATCCATTGGGCCGCTAGGGAACCGGAGGGAGGCACAGAGCATTGCCTTGCATAGCGGAGGTCAGGAGTGGAGTTAGGTGTGACACAGACAGGGCGATCGCTCTGGATTCAGCCCCGGGAAGGAAGGCTGGGACCTGTGTCTCCAAACCCCTCAGCGAGAGGCCTGCTTCTGCTCCAGGCTGGGATCCCAGGGGCTGTGGGCAGAGCATCCTCCTGCCCCAAAGCTGTCCAGGAGCCGCGGGCCGTGGGGTCGCCTTGGGCGTCACTACCCAGAGGCAGCGTGTGCTACATGAGTGCCCTTCCAGACGTCCTGGGGGTGACAGGCGGCATCTGCCCATGGGCGCCCCATCCTCGTCTCTGCACAGCACTGGCATGTGTGGCATGGGACCCAGCGAGCTCCCGCACAGCGTGACAGTTCCTTCACGCACCCCGTGCACTGGCTCTGTGCTTGCAGTCTCTGGGCATCTCTGGGAGACTCCGCTGTGTTGGGAGACAGCTCCCTCTGCCCCGTAACTGTGGGGTGACACCGGCACCACCTGGCAGGGTCACACCCCCCAGGTCACCTTCCAGGGAGGGACCAGAGGTGCCCGACTGCCGCACTACCGATTCCCTCCAGGGACTGCTGTCTCACAGCCTGGCAGACACATGTGGACTCCTCCAGCAACAGGGCTTCTGTCCTCCCCGCCCAGGACCACAGATTTTTTCTTGAACTCACTTTTTCCATTTGCAGGATGTTCTTTATTTCAGGGAAGGTCAGACTTTCCATGCCTGGCTTCTTCCCTCAGGGTTGTAGGGAGGCGACGTGACCTGCCGCAAGACCTTGGTGGAGCCCGGGCACCTTCCACGCCCGGGAGGTGGGCTGGCAGTGGACAGTGGTGTCAGGCTGATGCTGGGGGATGTGGGACCTATGCCCGGGGCCCTCTGAGGTCCCTGTCTCCCCTGGCCTGAGTCTCTGCTGTGCTTTCCGCCTGCAGGAATGTATGTTGGCTGCTTCAGTGACAGTGGCCGGGACAGGACCCTGAAGGGGGCCGTGTTCTTTGACCTGAGAAAGATGACCGTCTCCCACTGCCAGGATGCATGCGCTGAGCGGTGAGTAAGAGCTCCAGGCCGTCCAGCCACCGGGAGGGAGGACAGTCCCCAAACCCGCCAGGTGGCCGTGAGCTGGACCAGCAGCCTGGGCTTACTGATGCTGCAGTGCTGCCTGCAGGGACAAGGCCCACTGTGCGGGGCAGGGGGCTTAGTGGGAGGTTCCTCACCCTGAGCCTCGGGCCAGACATCCCCCAGGCCCCAGTCCTTGTGCCAGAACCAGCAGCTCCCCAGACTCAGCCGACACCCGCCTCTGTGAGGGAGCGGCTCCCAGGTCACAGGTGGGGGGTTGGGTACAGGCGTGTGCACTTGTACAAGGGACACATATGTGCCAGCATCGAGGGGGGCATGCACTTGGCTTGTTTCTGCCACATTACATTCCTCCTCCTGTGTGGTCTTGAGTCCCCATCACCGGCCGATCAGTCAGCTCCCATCAAGCCCATTTTATAGACGGAGAAACTGAGGCCAAAACAGACAGGATGGGTCCTGGCTCAGCCGTAATATAGACAGAATTGAAAGTGACTCTGGCAGTTTGGGGAACAGCCGACAGGTAGTAGGTGCTGGTCAGGGCCAGGAGGCCAGCAGGTGGCCACACAGGCACTGGGATTGTGTGGGGGTGGGGGTTTCACCTGGGTTTTCCGTGTTGGCCTGTGGAGCTGGGGGTGGGAAAGAGCAGGCCTCTTGGCAGGGCTGACATCCCGAGGGGCACGTGGTCGGTCCCACCTGCAGTCTTTCTTCACCTGTGCTGTTGCCACACCTGGTGGAGTGGGGACGCTGGGGGTCGCAGTCCCAAGAGGCAGGTGGTAGTCGCTTACACTCGTGCTGGCTCGGGGAGGACCGACCATGGATGCTCCAGTGTTGGGCTACAGCAGCATTGCCACCAAGGCGCTGACCCATGCCACAAAGCAGCGCCCCGTCCCCTGGCCCAGAGCCCATTCAGGACACTCAGTGGCACCTCAGGGCAGAGTGCAGGCTGGTGAGGGCCCCGTGGGGCTGGTCGCTTCCCCACAGGGGAAGGCCTGCTCCCCACCTCGCTGGTGGCCCTCCAGTCTGGCTGACACCGGCCCCTCACCCCACCTGACCCCAGCCCACGGTCGGTGCTGCGGGACCTGGGCCGCGGCAGGAACCCAGCGGGGCTGCTCTCCCTGCAGGTCCTACGTGTACGCGGGCTTGGAGGCCGGGGCAGAGTGCTACTGCGGGAACCGGCTCCCGGTGACCAGCATGGGGCCCGAGGCGTGCAACCACGAGTGCAAAGGAGAAAAGGGCTCTGCATGCGGGGGCTTCGGCCGGCTGTCTGTGTACCGCGTGGAGGAGCTGCAGCCCGGCTCCAGGAAGCGTGAGTGTGCCGGCCTGCCCTGCCCTCTGCCCTGCGGCCTGAGGCACACGCAGGGTGCAGCCCTGCTGGGGGCTCACGTAGGGGTGGGGGGGTCAGGCTCAGCCAGGCTGCCTGGGCCCCTGGCCTGTGGGTTGGACACGCTTCTCTGGAGGCCTGGCCCTGCCACGTGTCGGACATGGCGTGTGGCCCTGGGCACCCTGCCTGCCCACTCTGGGCTCTGGTTCTTTGTAAAGCGTGGAGGCCCACCTGGCCGTGCAGCAGTGAGGCCTGGCGGCCTGACATGCCCTGGCTGTGGAGCGCCCAGATGTTCCAGGCAGACAAGAGCAATCCTCAGAAAGCCTAGGCCCCAGGAACAAAGGGGGGCCTGAGGGTGGCAGGGAGGCCCACACGGGAGGAGGTGCGGGGCCGTAGGCACAGAGTTGGAGTCAAAGCTGCCAATAGAGAGCCTCAGTTCTGCGGGAGAACAAAGCCTTGGAACTTTCGGTTCAAAAGCAAACAGGGGATCCCCAGGTGGCTCAGTGATTTAGCACCTGCCTTTGACCCAGGGTGTGATCCTGGTGTCCCGGGATTGAGTCCTACATCAGGCTCCCTACATGGAGCCTGCTCCTCCCTCTGCCTGTGTCTCTGTCTCTCTCTCTGTGTCTCTCATGAATAAATAAATAAAATCTTAAAATAAATAAATAAAATCTTTAAAAAAAAACCCAAAAAACAAAAACAGCAGCTGCTGTGCAGGGAGAGAGGAAGGCGGAACTGACCTGAGCAGGAGGGGAGGGGCAAGCAGACCTTGCAGGGAGCGGTGACCTGCAGGCCTACATGGGAGTGGGGGGCATCCAGTGGGCATCCAAGTGATCGTCTGGTGGGTGTCGGGGATGGCGTCAGGGTGAGCCTCTGGGTGGGCGTTGGAGGGGCATCCGGGTGGGCGTCAGGGTGGGTGTCGTTGGGGGCATGAGGGGGCGTCGGGGCGGGTGTGGGGGGGTCAGGGGAGCATCGGGGCAGGCATCCGCGTGGGCGTCGGGGGGGGCGTGCGGGTGGGCATCGGGGGTGGCATTGGGGCGGGCGTTGTTGGGGACGTTGGGGTGGGGGTGGGGCGGGCATCAGGGCAGGCATCAGGGCGGATGTCCAGGGGATGCGGGCTAGGGGCTGGACCCTTCCACCTGGCCTGGAGGACAGCCTGGCAGGAGGCTTCCTTGAAGCACGGGCTCCAGGAGCCCCTGGCGGGAGTTGGATCAGAGACAAGAGGGTCTGACACGGCAGCACAGTGAGGCGATTGTGGTGGGATTTCACGCATCCGGGTCTAGTTCCTCCTTATGCCTGCACTGCAAAGACATGGAATTTTCCAGAACATCAACCTCTTGGGTCACAGGGTGCAGAACCTGGCCGATAAGGGGCACAGAGTCCAGATCTGTGGAAGGAAGGAGGGAGGGACAGAGGGCTGGCTGGATGCCATCCCCGAAGTGGGTGGGAGACGCAGACCTGAGGTCCACCCTTGATGGCAACCACAGTGACAAGGTTTGGGCGCCTGGGGTCTCAGGAGTCTGGCCTGCCAACCCCCTGGCCGCACAGTCTGCTCTCTGGTTTAGAACCCACCTGCTGACTGCGTGGGCACCCAGGTCAGACCCCAAAGCCACCTTCCCCCCCGTGACAGGCACCAACAAGGATCCTCATCAGAACCCATTTTGTCCCTGCAGGGAGGACCGTCACATACCGCGGATGCTTCAGGCTGCCGGAGAATGGCACCCACGCCTTCCCCGACTCCCTCGTGCAGGCCAACGCAACAGTGGAGGCGTGCTCGGGATTCTGTTCCCAGAAAGTAAGGCCACCTCTGACAGGTGCACGCGGGGTGGGCTGCGCGGGGCAGGTGCGCAGGTGTCGGGGCAGGAGGGGGCGGCGAGGAGACCCCGGGAGGGCCTTGCGGCCTGTGCTGACAGCAGGGCCGCATGCCTCCCTGACGGCAGCTCTTGGCAAGGGCGTCGGGTGCTGGACTGACTGGTTTGTTAGTGAGAAGTGCTGGCCGGCTCAGAGGGAGCGGGAGGGTCACCTGCTGCACCTGAGGATGGGGCAGGATGCTGAGCCTGGCTTCAGGGGCCATGGTCACGGGTACGCCTTGGGCTCCGTCTGAGCTCAGCGGTGGGACGTGGCTCTGCAGAAGGTGGGTGGGGCGCCTGGCACCGCAGCTCTGGGTGGGACACAGTGGTCAAAGCCAGACAGGACCCCCGGAGCGCTGAGGTCTGGGGCCGGGTCCAGCGGCCCTGCGGGTGGCCCCTGTGGGGGGCAGTAGGCTGCCATGGGGACTGTGACCAGAGGCTGATGGTGACATCGTTCATCCAGCTGCTGTGCGTCCCTCACCGGGCAGCAACCCCGCCTGATCCTTCTGACGGCCCCTCCAGCGGGCACTAGGATGCGCTGCGTTTTTGGGTGAGGGAGTGGAGGCAGAGGGGCTGGGCATGCTGTCCGAGGTCACGCGCCCCTACATGGGCGAGCCGGGATGTGGACCCAGCCAGTGCCTGGCGCTGTAGGGAACCCTGAGGGGCGCGCCCTCCTTGGCACCCCTTGAGATGTCCCCCCTGGAGGCCAACACACAGTCTTTCTGCGCTTCCCACCCAGGCTGCAGCCTTTGAGGTGGGTCTCTGCGTCTGCAGCAGCTCGGGATTTCTGGGGCATTCTCGGGGCTCACACCATCTGGCTGCTCACAGCTGCTCAAGAGCACCCACAGGGACCAGACCTGCAGGTGTCTTATGTGCTTGGGGATCTGCGGTGACCTCTCAGGGCTCTGGGGGGACACTCCACACCCCCCCCCGTGCTGCCATCCCCTGGCGCATCAGGGGAGGGACAAATAGCTCCATGTCCCCGACCCACAGCCCATGGCAGGCCCCAGGGATGGCTCCATCCATATTGGCAGGGAGAGCACTTTCCTGCTCTTCTGCTCTGCTGTGCGGACATCCTGTTCTTCGTGTGACCAGTGCTCTGCTGTGGAGTGTTTCGGTTGTCTTCAGCATGTGGCGTTTGTGAGCAAGGTTGCAGTGACCTCTTGGTGGGTGGGTTGTTCTGTGTTGCTGGATCCGTAGAACAAGACCCCAGGGGGATGCTGGGTCAGAGTCTGTGCATCCTTGTCCCAGTGGTAACCTCGGTCATGCTGCGCTGGGCACAGAACGCGTGGCTTTGATGCCCTCGCTGCTGGTGCATGAGAGGGCAAGGAGGTGGCTTTGTGACGTCCAGGGAGAGCGGCTGCAGAGCAGTCCTGGGCCGAGTGCTCTGACCTGGGTAACCTGGGACCTGCACGATTGCTACAGACACAAAGTGTGCAGACTGGGGACCAGTTTCACCCTGACGGGGGCGGGCTCGCACTGTCCTGAGCCATCTCGGGCTTCAGCACCTGAGGGTCTGCCATCCAACGGGTCTCATGGACCAGGTACCTGCCTGGCCCAGTGGTGCTGCTGGGGACTGTCTGGGTCAGACCAAGGCTGGAGGCGCATCCTGGGTTCTCAGAAACGGCTGCGGGGCCCCCACTGCACACACAGGCCTGCCTCCCCCTCCCCTGTACCGTGGATGTGGCTGGAAGAGGGGGTCTGGAGTCCTGTTGCCATCCACAGGACTTCCAGCTTTGAAGCTGAGGGCAGGTCTTAGCAGGACATGTATAGTGGATGGAGGCCCACAGGGTTGTGGGCAGACCCTGGGGTGGGGGGCACACAGCTCAGCACCCGGAGGGGCTGGGGCAGGCCCGGAGGGTCAGCGGCCCCTGCGGGGGATGGTGGCCTGTTGAGGGGTGCCGCTCCTGGAAGGGACGGAGCTGGAGGACATGATAGGAGCCGGCAGGGAGATGAGGGCGAGCAGAGTGCACAGAGCGGGGGCTGCGTGTGTGCAGTGGGCGTGGGGGCTACGGCCGGGTCCAGGCACGTGTCTTCGGGTAAGGGGGGGTTGTGACAGCCTGCAGGGAGGGCTGGCTGTGGTAGGATGCTCTGGAGATGTACTCTGGAGACCCGGGGGGCACCTGACATACCACAGAGGGTGACCTATGACCTGGCTCTGGACCCGGGGTCCAGGTGGGCAGGGAGGACACAGAGGGTCACGCAGCCAGGTGAAGCTGCCTTCTACCCAGTGTGGTGACCTCTGTTCCCAGCCTGCTGTCCCCCCCAACCTTGTGCCCCGTGGCATCCATGCAACTTATGCCTGGCCTCTAGGCAGCCGCCTGGTTGGATTCCGCGGGGTCTAGGGGCACCCACATCAGCCTGCAGCGAGGGCACTTCCTGGTAGATTGTGTCCCCATGGACAGGGGCGTAGCACCCCCAGTGCGAGGCCAAGGCTGGGCTCAGGTGGGGCTTCACAGGGACCAGCCTATGCCGTGGCCACCTTGCGGCACCCCGCTTCCCAGTGCCTTGGGAGTCCTGCTTGTCGCCCTGGATGAAAGCCTCTACTGTTGTTCAGTGGTTACAATGGTTCGGGAACTCCAGGATATGGCCAGACAGGATGCCTGGGGCACCATCAGCCCCCCCAACATCGTCTGAACCCAGAGAAGCCATCTGCTCTGACTTTCTGCAGTCGTTGGGAGAGACCTGCCTTGTCTCTGTTCCTGGATCTGGGATGGTGGTTTTGGGTCTGGTATTTATGTGCAGGCCCCACGGTGGGGCCCAGGGACTCAGGCACCATCAGCGATCCAACTGCTGACACCTGCTGCTCCTCCAGCAACCCTGCGTGCGGCTGACACCTGCTGCCCGACCCACCTGGATCCCCGCAGGCGCAGTCTGTTCCCTGGGGGCAGGTGGGGGCACTGCCTCTGCGGCTCTGCCAAGGGTCAGGTCAGTAAGGGTCTGGGTTTTGTGAATTAACTGCCTGGACATTCGCAAGTTTTCCCTTTGTGAAAACGCTGGACAGTCCTTCATCGGGGGACGATCCCGTACAGCTTTGGGTTTCTTACACTGTTTCTGCAGTAGATCTGTCGACGTTGTACCATGTGTATCTTTAAACAAAATGTATTATTTTTCGGGGGGTTGGTGGTGACAAAGGCATATCTATTTTAGAAAATTTCGAAAATTTTGAAATGCAAAATTACATGAAAACTCACTGGTAACTTTACCACATCGGAGAAAACCACCAATAATATTTCACATCCTCTGGTCTTCTAAGTGTACGTTTGTGGAATTCACTTCTCGAAAATTGATGTTTGGGGGCCCCTGGGTGGCCTCGTCGGTCGAGCGTTTGACTCTTAAACTCAGCTCAGGTCATGACCTCGGGGTCGTGGGTTCAAGCCCTGCATTGGGCTCCGTGCTGGGCGTGGAGGCTGCTCAAAAAAAGAAGGAATGTCTCCTTCCATTTCCCCCCTCTGTGATACGTGCCCCCTGTGGCTGCAATGCACGCCTCCTCCTGTTGGGCCACCTGCTGTCGCGACCCTTCCTGAAGGTGGACCCGTGAGCAGGTGCACAGCCGTTTGCTGCGTCATCACACGTGGAATCGCTGTTGTGAAGGAGTTGTGCGTCCCCATCTCCTAAGTCACCCCTGAGACTTGAGGTGTATTTCCAGGAGCGAGTCACCTGGCCTCACTCTGACCTGGGTCAGTGACCCGGATGCGTGTCCCTGTGCAGCCATGTCCTTGCTTTGCGGTCCTGGCTAGTGCATGGCCTTGAGCCGTGGCATTCTCACTGACTGTCATGGATGCGATTCGAAGCTGTGGGTTCCTGGGGTCGAGCATGGGCTGGTCCCGCCTCTGGACCTGCCTCTGCGACCCCATGGCCCCCACTTTGCAGCCAGACGGCAGGAGCCTCAGATCAGCAGGAGACAAGGGTGCGGTGTCGTGTTCCGCGGACGGGCTCTGGTTCACCCTGACGCTCGCCTGCCAGCAGAAGTCCGCCCTCCACTCCCATCCCCGCAGCCACCCCCGAGTACCTCCTTCCCTTTGGGCCTCAACGTCCAGGCCTACCTTGGAGCAAAAGCAGGTGGGAGATCCGTCCGGGTGAGCTCCGTGCTGGTTCAAAGACTTCACCAAAACCTTCCACCTTGCACTCATCGGTGTCCACAGAGTTGAGTGTGGAGTGTGGCAGAGCCCTGGGCAGCTCTGTCCAGCTTGGCCTCACGGTCTGAGGTCCTGGCCTCCTCGCCTCCACCTGCCCTCCTGAGGCCTCGAGTCCTGATTCTGGATGTTTCTGGGAGTCCCTGGAATCCTGGAGACTGACAGCAGGGGAGATGCTCAGGGCCCGGGACAGCCTGGCCTGCTGGGACGTCACTCCCGAGCCTAGCCACGACCACGCTCTGCACGTGGGCCCCCGGCACCGAGGACCCCGCCCCTGCTGTGCCGTGACCCGACACGGGGCCCAGGCTCTGGATGCAGTTCCAGGCAGCAGGAGGACGTGTCCCCCGCCCCAACCCTGACTGGCTGAGCTGGTCCCCTCTTCATGCCTGGGATATTAACAGTCCCACGTCCACGTCCTGGATTCCTCCTCCTGCCTCCCCTCCTCTGATCGTCTTCTTGCGCAGGAGCTGGCAGAGAGGAGCTTCATCAATATTTAATCTTTATGGAAATCACGTCCTAGAATTCCCCAAGGGGCTGAAAATTGTTCTGTGTTTTCAGAACCCAGGGATGTCGCTGAAGCGGGCACGTTGTAAATAAAATCACGTTAGTGTCTGCGGCTCCCCTTGCACTGCAGACGCCTGGGAACCCGACTGTCTCATCCACTCGTGGAGACCAAGGGGCCGGGGTCACTGGTGGGGGCAGCCCAAGCCAGCCCGGGGGGTGCGGGGTCATGGGGTGGCCCTACGGCCAGGGAGGGGTCCTGCGGTGGCATTTTGTTCTCTGAGCAGAGCCCAGGATGCTAGCGGGCGAGGCCCTGCCTGGGTTTGCTGTTATCTGTGCGTCCCTCCAGGAGGCTGGTGCCCACACACGCTGGAGGCACCTCAGGGGACACTTGTCTGCCCGCCGGTGTATTCGTCAGACACTCACGGGCCGTCCACTGGGTGCAGACCTGCTGGAGCACACAACATAGCACGGTGCGCCCGCGGCACTCGATCCTGCCAGCACGCCCGTGGACTTGGCACACAGGGTCCAGGGACCACCCGATGCATGGGAGCCAGTGGAGCGCTCGATGGCACGTCTGTACACGGACTGCGACGCCACAGTAATAAGGAACTGTCCCAACGGAGGCATCAGTGCACGAGGACTGGCACCCAGACTTGAGTGAAGGGAAAGTATGTGCTTCGGGATCCTGTTCTTGGGACTGGACCGACCGGGCGCAAGAGTCAGAGCCGCAGCTGTTACAGGAGGGAGCGGGGGGCAGGAGGGAACGGCGGTGCATGCGTGCACGGGCGTCAGAGCTGTGCAAACGTTCCCGTGGGACTGAGCTTTCCTCTGGGTCAGTAAGTCCTGCCTCTCAGGGAAATAACCGGAGGGCTCGCCCAGGGCATATGGGGCTGGTGAGAGTGGGGAGGGTGTGTCGATGTGAAATAGGGTGGCCAGTGAAGGCCTGTCAGGGAAGGGAGCTTGAAAACGTGAGGCAGGGGCCTGAGTGCAGAGGGAGCTGCAGGTGCAAAGGTCCTGTGGTGCACAGCCAGGGACCATAAGGACCCCAGTGTAGGAGCTTGCCACAGCTGCCCCAACAAAGTGCCATGGATGGGGGCTCGCCCTTCCTGGGGTTCTAGAAGCCAGAAGCCTGAGGTGGGGTGTCGGCAGGGCTGGTTTCTTCTTAGGCCTGCCTCTTGGGCTCACAGGTGGCCATCGTGTCCCTGTGTGTTCACACGGCCATCTGTCCATGTCCTAATGTCCTTATAATGACACTAGTCAGATGGGATCACACCTCCCACCCCGTGGCCCATTTCACCGAATCACCTCTTTAAAGGCCCTGCCTCTGAAGACAGCAGCATCACCGGGAGCGGGAGGGGAAAATGTGGGTTCGGGACAGATTCCGTGTGTGCAGAGCGCCAGCTCGGAGCCCTGCTGGTGCTGCTGACTGGCTTCCAGCCTCTGTGACACGCCACCCCCCCAACACCAGCCCCGCTGTGGTGCCCAGGCATGTGGCCAGTGTGGGCTGGGGCCACTGGGGCCACAGGCATGCCTGACAGGTATCCTGCAGTGAGACTTCCAGCCTCTCTCCATCCCAGGCGCAGGGGCCTTGGAGGGGAGCCCATGGGCAGAGTTCAGGGGTCAGACCCTGGGATACCCTACACATGTGGGGGGACAGTGGAGGTCTTGAGATAAAAGCGGGGTGCCTAGGATGCATTGGGCTATCATCCCTTGTCCTCCCAACAGCGGGGAGGACCTGCCCCCAGCTTGCAGGTGGGGAAACCGAGGCTTGGATGGGGCAGCTGTTGAGCTGTAGGGCTTTGTGTCAGGGTCTGACAGGTTACACACCTGCTGCTTCCTCCCTGGTCCCTGCGCTCATGAAGACCATGGACACCCGGAGCCACTGCCTCCCCCGTCCTCCATCCTCTGAAAATCCACGTCCTGAGCCTCGCCTAGCAAAGGCATGGAGAGCAGGGCTGTGGCCCCGGGGGAGCGGGAGAGCTGTAGGAGACTGGAGGGAAGCGAGGTCCTCCGCCTCTTCTAGGCAGGCCACCCGCAGGTCTTGTCTGTGTCACAGATGGAGAGGCTAGGGTTCCAGGAGGTCCCACAGCTGTTCCAGGGCTTCTGCAATGTGAGAAGGAGCTCGGTGCTGGAGCAGGGATGGGCATGCGTGGTGGGGGTGTGCAGGGATGTGCAGGGGTATGGGGGGTGCACAGGGGTGCATGGTGGGGGTGAGGAGTGCACAGGGGTGCATGGTGGGGATGAGCAGGGGTGCATGGTGGGGATGAGCAGGGGTGCGTGGTGGGGGTGAGCAGGGTTGCATGGTGAGGGTGAGTGCATAGGGGTGTGTGGTGGGGGCATGCAGGGGTTTGTGGTTGAGTGTGCAGTGTCAGAACAGTGCAGGGTCTCTCCTGTCCTTGGGGTGGGGACCCTGGGAACTCCTGGCAGGGGCAAAGCCACCCGCAGGCGTGCTGGAGGAGGAGGGAGGCAGGGAGGGGCTCTCGTGGGGGCGGCAGGGCACTGGGGTCACAGGGGCAGGCCCCGTGTTGCCCTCCTGTTGTCCGTGGGGGGACTCAGCCCACGGTGTCCCCGTGGAGATCCCGGCTCTGCCAGGCCTTGCTCAGAAAAACATGATTGATTGTCTTTTTACTTATTTATGAGACTTTTGTTGTGAGCGAGAGACGACGAGGCCTGTGTGGCACGGCTTCAGCCGTGAGGGGCTTTCTGGCCTCCCGCCTCCCCCTCTGCTGGTGTGGCCGGCCTTCCTGTCTGCAGGAGGCAGGATGGGCAGGGGCAAGTGGGGCTGGTGTCCCTCCCTGGTGCCCGTCCCCCAGAGCATCCGCCTCACCACCCAGCCCCACTATGACCTGGCCCTGCACCCCCACCCCTGCAGCGGGGTTGGGCTCCCCTCCTCCAACGTGGCCCCATGCTGCCCCATCCTGCCCCCCCCCAGGCTTCTCCATCCCATCCTGACCCCCCACACACACCCCTGCCTGCTCCTGCCCACACTCCTGCTGGCAGGAGGACTCCTCTGGGATGGCCATGCCCGGCTCCATCCACGCAGGGACTGCTGAGGGGTCCGCAGCCGCTGGAAGCTGCTGGGGGCAGAGGCCGTGTCCCCCCTGGCTCGTCATCCCTGTGGATCCCGCGTGTCCCCCCAGCCCTGGGTCCAGGAGGCCTGGCCCCCCGCGCCCCAGCTGCTCTCACCCCTCGCCCCCCAGGAGTTCCCTCTGGCCGTCCTCCGGGGCTGGGAGTGCTACTGCGCGTACCCCACGCCTCAATTCAGCCTTCGGGATGCCGTGGACAGCTCGCTGTGTGGCCAGGAGCCTGAGCTACAGAGGCTGGCTGAGTACTGCGAGGTCTACCAGACGCCCGTGCAGGGTGAGTTGGGCATGGGGGACGCACTGTGTGGGGCCCCCACCCCGTGTCCACCACGGTTTGCCCTCCAGGGGTTTGGGGATGCCAGTGTGGCTGTGTGCAGTCCTGGGGAGGGAAGGGGAGGGCAGGGGAGGCCACCACCGTCCCTGGAGGCACCTGACCTTTTCCAGAGTCGGGGAGAAGGTGGTTTGAGGACGGGCAGGGGAATGGAGAGGCAGGGCCCGGCCATTGCCCTGTTCCAGAGCTTTCTGTGCTGTGGCTCAGGGCTTGCCGAGGCCACAGAGACCAAGCAGCAGCGGAGCTGCCCTGGGCGGAAACCCCTTCTTCCCTGGGCCTGCCTCAACTTCCCCAGTGTGAAGCAGGGTCTGGGGGCAGCCAGTCCCCTGGGCATTCGGTGGCCAGCCTGTGCACTTGCAGACACCCGCTGCACTGACCGGAGGTTCCTGCCCACCAAGTCCAAGGTGTTTGTGGCTTTGTCGAGCTTCCCAGGTGCCGGGAACACGTGGGCCCGGCACCTCATCGAGCATGCCACAGGCTTCTACACCGGAAGCTACTACTTTGACGGGACCCTGTACAACAAAGGTGAGCGACAGCTGCCAGCAGGGGGTTCCCCAGAGGGTCAGGGAACCTGCACAGTTAACATGCTCCCAGCTCGCGGGTTCCCAAGAGCCCCTGTGTGCGGTGGCCCCACACGCAGCCCCCTCCACCCCCAGTGTCATGTCCAACTGAGCACAGCAGCATCCTGTGGGTGCACGTGTGGCTCTGTGATGGAGGGTGGGCCCGGTATGGGGCCACGGCATAAGGGCAGAGGGCAGGGCAGCCGTGGCTTATGGCCTGGCCCTTGGTGACTGCACGCCGGCCCCACTGCCAGAGGTGGGAAGGAGACAGGCCTCCCAGGGACACACGTGCCCTGGCTGTGCCACTGCGCTGCTGTGGGATCTGGGGCAGGGCATGTGCCCTCTCAGGGCCACACCTGCAGCCACGACTAACTCACAGGTGATTCGCTGTGCTTGTGTGGCATCGCCATGCAAACGCCCCCACGGACCACGCATCTCCGCATCTAGGGGGCATCGGACTCCTGTGCCCTGACCTCGGGGTCTCCTGGAGGTGCGTTCAGCTCGGCCTGCTGCCGTGGCGGGCCCCTGGCACCTTCCTCAGGGGCCTCCCCTCCCCGCGCAGGGTTCAAGGGTGAGAAAGACCACTGGCGCAGCCGGCGCACTATCTGCGTGAAGACCCATGAGAGCGGCCGGAGGGAGATTGAGATGTTCGATTCAGCCATCCTGCTGATCCGGAACCCGTACAGGTCCCTGGTGGCTGAGTTCAACCGCAAGTGTGCCGGGCACCTGGGCTATGCAGCTGATCGCAACTGGAAGAGCAAAGGTAGGTGGCAGGGGCAGGTGGGGGGCGTTCCATGCAGCTTTATCTGGTGCAGACACATGTCCCCTATCCTGCTGGGGTTGGACTGGCAGTCCCAGCCTCTGCCTGCCACCCCAGGCACCACAGTGCAGCCAAAACACAGGTCTGCATGGCAAGTGACAGGATACCAGGTGGTCAGTGGGGACTCGGAGCCATAGGGTAGGCAGGCCGTCACCACAGACTCCAGCCCTTGCCTCCCGGTGCCTCCTGCCGCCTCTGCCCCTTGCTGACCTCCCGGATACAGGACGCTGAGCTCCAGTCCCTCCTTGGCTCTCACAAGCCTCGGTTTGCTCATCTGAGAAACCAGGGAGACCCTGAGTTCAGGGTCATCGAGAAGGCTCCTGGGGCACGTGAGGTGTGCTGGCGGCTCGGTTACACCAGCTGTGTCGGGGCGGGTCTTCACGTTTGCACCTTCCCACCAACACAGAGAGCCTGCCGATCGAGCTGCACTAGGACCCCCGGCATAGAGTGTCTGTGAACGTCAGCAGCTGTCCCTCTGGTCCTTCATGGCGCTTCCTGCCACTCGGCAGGGTCATGGGGTACACTGATGATACCGCCACCAGACGGGGGGGGGCCTCGTTCACTGAGCTGCCCAGGAGGACCCAGGGCAGGCGATTGGGCTGGAGTGCATCCTTGCCACAGCCCTGCTCATCCCGTCACCCGCGCTGGACAGGCATAGCTGGCAGGGGAAAGGTGAAGGCAGCGAGGGTCATCTGGTTTCCCAGTCATCCCTAACGCCGGTGTGGCTCCCCCGGCCCCAGCGTGGGCCCAGCGTTCAGGGACTCCCCGTCCACGGCAGAGGGAAGCAGTTCTGCTGGTCTCGGTCCACATCTGTCCTGGCATGGTGTGCCCGCGGCGTGGCCACGTGACCCAGGCCAGCCCAGGGTGCTGCTCGCGCTCCCTGTGGGTTGTCACAGGGCCTTGTCCGTCGGGTGCCCGGGAGGCTGGCCTGACAGGCACCGTCTCTCCCGCGCAGAGTGGCCGGACTTCGTCAACAGCTACGCGGCGTGGTGGTCGTCGCACGTGCTGGACTGGCTGCGGTACGGCAAGCGGCTGCTGGTGGTGCACTACGAGGAGCTGCGCCACAGCCTGCTGCCCACGCTGCGGGAGATGGTGGCCTTCCTCAACGTGTCTGTGAGCGAGGAGCGGCTGCTCTGCGTGGAGAACAACAAGGAGGGCAGCTTCCGGCGGCGCGGCCGGCGCCCCCACGACCCCGAGCCCTTCACCCCTGAGATGAGGGCGCTGATCGACGGCTACATCCGGACGGTGGACAAGGCGCTGCGTGAGCACGGCGGGGCCGGGCTGCCCGGCGAGTACGTGCCCAGATGACGGCTTGGCAGCTCTGTCCGTGCCCGCCCGGACGCTGCAGGACCCTCGGTGTGTACACATGCCACGGCGTGCTCATGGGGCCACGCAGGCGGCTGGACACGCTCGGACGTGCAGGCGTGGGCTCCCAGGCTCCTAGGCTCCTGTTTCCCGCTGCGGACTTGCTAGCCAGGCTCCTTGCCCTGAATGCAGGGCCAGGTGGGCATCGGCACCGTGGGCAGGTGCTGCTGGGCCCCACAACTCTGACAGCACGTCCGACACCCGACAAATGCATGTGGTGTGACCACCAGGCACCACGGTCAGCAGCCCCACCTCTCCCTCCTCTGCAGACAGGCCGGCAGCACTGGACACCGAGCAGGATCCCCCAACACTGACCTCAGGACCTGTGCCAGCTCTGCACCCCCACCCTCTCCACATCTGCAGTCCCTGCAGGGCCCCCTGCCTGGCTCCCAGAAGTGGCCTAAGGGTGCAGGGACAGGAGGGGCTGGCTTCAGGGGAGCCCCAGGCCTCAGGGGTTGCAAGGGGTTGCAAGCCCCCCTCTGGGGGTGCTCAGGGTGCACGTGGAGAGACCTGGGGGCTGTCCTCCCTGTGGGGTCCCACGGGCCGTGTTCCCCTGGACACACCCCTGGGGGGAGTCTGCCCTGCGGCCAAGCCCTCGGTGTTCACTCCACGCTGTCCCCGGGCCTCCTGGTCACACCCTGGTCTCTGTGCCCCTCCTGGAGGAAGGCCCCTCAGGGATGCTGCTGCCTGTGGTGTGCCAGCTGGGGCAGGGGGCAGAGGAGAGGCCCCCAGCTCACAGCCTCAGGGACTGGGCAGGGCTCACCAGAAACTGCAGTGACCTGCTGGCAGAGGAGCTTGTGTGCTGTGTGGGCGGGTTGGCACCTGGGCTGGGGGCTCTGCAGGAATCACGCAGCACAGCAGAGGGAAGGGTGAGGAGGCTCAGGGAACAGAGGCATGAAGGACAGGTGGGTGGGGTGTGGCCGTGTATCTGAGTCCATGCAGTGAGGACGGGAGCAGGAGGGTGGGGACAGAGCTGGAAACGCAGAAGGGGACTGTGCGCACACCACCTGGCACTCAGCCTGGAGCACAGACGGCCTCCTTCATGGGCACCGCGGGTTCAGAGTGAGGCTGCGGAGACCAGGGCCCGGGCCAGAGGTGGTGGGTGTGGACCCCTGCGAGGGGCGTGACAGTGACCCCGGCTGGGCCCTTGTTCTGGCCTCCTGCGGCCTGAGCCAGGCTGCACCCAGGGGAGAAAATGAGGCACGAGATTTGGGAGAACCAGCACTGGAACACCCTGACCCTGCACCCTGCCAGCCACGGGAAGCCAAGAGCCACTGCAGCGAGGGTGGGCAGGGTGGAGAGCCCAGCAGGCTGCCCTTCCCAGAGGGAGGCCTCCATGCCCGCCCCGGCTCTGCCAAACCCACACTGGTGCTGAGCCAGTTCTGGGCCCTCTCATGGCCGTGCATGCCGCACAGGTAGACATGCCAGGTCTTCGTAGACGTTTATGGGTGCGGCTGTGACTCCGCAGTCCAGCCTGGGAAGGGCCCCGATGGCACTCTTTCTCTGCAGTCGCAGGAAGGAGGGACCTGCCAGGAGTTAGACCTGCCGTGGAAGGCAGCCAGCACCAACGGGGTCCTGCAGCCCTGGGCAAACCTAGTCTCCAGGGGATGAGGGCCAGAAGCTGGCCACCTCCTGGGAATGGCTCCCTGGCTCTGGTCCTCACTCTTCCCAGCCAACTGGATGGTTTGGGGAGAAGACCTAGATGCCAGGGAGGCCGGGAAGTGCAGCAGTGTGGCTGGAGGGCCACCCACTCTCCTGCCCACCCCGAGGTCAGGATAGCAGCAGCCCACTCCCCCCCACCCCCCCGTAGATGGTCCATTTCCTGCTGCCAGGGGCCCAGAGACCTCCTCTCCCTCCAGGTGGAGAGCCACCTGCTCAGGTGCCTCGTGCTTCCTGGGCACCTTAGCCAGACATGCAGATGAGTAGAACGAGGGGATCAGTCTGCACCCGGGTCATGCCGAGTTGGTCCACACGGTCAGGCACCTGATATGGGGCTGCTGCTCCTGGGTGTTGGATGGGCAGGGACGTGCCCGGAACCTGGAAGTTACACAGACGTGTTAAGACGTGTGATTTACATGGATTTCACCTCCCGTTGTGGATCAATTTGGAAAAACCAAAATATGTAATTTTAGGAAACTAAAACACATTTCTGATAATCCCAGTGATGTGCAAATGAGACAGAAGAATAGACAGGCTCCCAGACCCCAGGAAGAAAGCTGCTTAATTATGTGAGCATCTCGTAATGAAGACTCTTACAGCTAAAATTAGACCGCGAGTGTGTGAATATGTGATGATGTTTGCACACCAGAATGCATTTCCCCCTTAACGGGAGCTGGAGCTGCTTCGTTCCCCAAGGGGGCCTTGGTGGGGGACGCGAGAGTGCTGGGGGTGGCCTTCGTGGCTGCAAGAATTCTGAGGATGCAGGTTTGCTCACTTGCGGCTGGAAGCTCATCGGGGTGTCACCGCGTGAGGCCTCCAGGGCTGGGGTCTGGGGCAGGTGGGTCAGGATCCACACTGATCACTACTTTGCACAGAACTGGCCGGCCCGGACAAGGTCCGAGTGAGGGGAAGTCAGCCCGCCCACCGGGCAAGGCCGCATTCCGTGTGGTCTCAGCTCCCAGGAACACAATGAGGGGTGTGGTACACAGAGTCGGTTGCCCTCCCCCCCGTTCTCCCCATTTCTTTCCCCAGCAGCCCCGGGTTTAGGTGGAGGGACCCCCAGCCTGGACAAAGTCAGAGTGGCTCTCTCCATTTTCCTGGCTACTGGCCGCTTCAGGGATGGTCACGTGAGCTCAGGTGGCCAGAGGGCACCCCAGGACACCCCAGGACATCAGGAGTTGTGGGTAGAGACTGCATGTGCACATGTGCGCCACTGCTGGGACAGGAGGCAGGCAGCCCTGCGCCTGGAGAGGGGCCACCCCCAGCGTGAAGCTGGTTCTCCCGCAGGGGCCGTCGGGAGGCACAGTGAGCCGCGTCCCTTGTGGCACCGATGCACGCTCCAGCTTTGCCTGCGATCGCCCTCCCTCTGGACGGTTTTGTTACACAAGCCAATAAATCCCCTTTATTATTCACATTGTGCTGAGTCGGGCTTCTGTGGAGCCGCGTTCGACCGTCTCTGTGGCTGACACAGGTGAGGGCTGAGCCTCAGCCCGGCTCCAGCTGGGGGCCTGGGGATGGTGCCTTCTCCTGGAACGGGGCCGGGTGTGTGCTGCTCTGCAGGATGCTGGGCTTGGCCGGCCAGGACCAGCTGCGGTCGGTCACCACTCAGTAGGTCGCCCATATGTCCTCATAAAGTAACTCCTGTCATGTGCCCGGTGCCGACCAGCAACTGGATCGTTTAACCTTTTACCAATCCTTGTTGTCCCCTGGACAGTATGAGTGACCATGGAAGCGTGGCCCTGTCGTGGTTTCCATACCTGCTTCTGTGGGGGATGTGCTGTGGGGCTGGGGGGAATCCTTTAATTAGTGGTTTTGCCTAGGTGGGGATGCATCTGTGCCACAGTCCCTCGGGAGTGGGAGGCGGCCACACAGCTTCAGGCAACTGTGAGGGGCGTGGGAACGTGAGAGGGCAGCGTGGCTGGTAGCTGCCGTTGGAGGCAGGTGGGCTGATGTCAGTGAGCAGCCCCTCCTCTGGCCCCGTCCTTCCCTCTTCAGATCGGAGGACAGAGTGCGCTCCGTGTGGCCCGTCTTCAAACCCTCCTCTGTGTCAGCCTACGACACAGGGCCCCAGGGTCCCAGGAAATCGCCAGGATCCCCCACCCCCACCCCCGTGCTCCTGTTTGTGGCTGACGGCAGATGCGGCTCACCGGGGAGCCCCTACTGTGTGCATACTGCAGGATCCTGGGCCCCTGCCCGGGGGAAGTGAGCAGACCCCCTGGAGGAACAGTATCACTGCCCATGTACAGGGAGTCTCCACCTCAAAGATAAAAGCAGCCCCAGCTGCTGCTGTTTGTGCAATCGCGAGTTGGACACGCAGCCTGCCCGAGGGGCCTTGGGTCCCTTGAGACGTGCTCAGGTGCAGACGTGACAGGGACGGGCCCGCGGTGATGGGATGTCACGGAGTTACAGACACCTCGCCCCGGGTGTGCCTCGGTGGGGTGCACATTGTTTCCATTCCTGGGAAGAGAGAGTTAGCTTCTGAGCTGAGCACCCCAAGTGAGGGCTCTACTTCACAGACAAGGGAAATGGGACTCGGGGTAGGCGGGTCTCCCATGAGGTTGCCCTGGCAGGATGAGCCAGCAGAGCAAGGGCGGGAGTGCAGGCTCCTTCCGCGAAACCACCTGACCGCCCTGCTGCATCCCTATAACTCTTGGAGGCGTCGCCACAGACAGGCAAGTGTGCACACCCAGCTCATCTGAAAGCGACCCCATTAATCTCCCTGCTAGTTCTGTGCCAGGATACACTTGGTGGGCGCCTGAGCTCAGCGCCCAGGGCCATTTTATCAGCACATCGCCAGTACTTGAAGACCTGCCCAGAAGGAGCAGTGAGAGGGACTGTGACGTGCCCGGGGCATTCATCCTCTGTCCCAGCATCCCAGACCACAGAGAGCCCACCCCCCAGGTGTGTCCACCAGCAGGACAGGCAGGTGACCCTCAGCATCATGTGCCAGCCCTCCTGACCATGAGACAGGTGCCCGGTCACCTGCACTTTGGCATCAGGTCCCTCGGTGATCTTGTCCCCATAGACCAAGCCCCACACCCAGCTGATGTGACTCACACCCGCCTCACAGGCAGGCACACCCCTGGGGTGGCAGTGGAGCAGCGGCTGCCTTCCTTCCTGCTGCCTCCCCCACCCCACCCCACCCCCCGTCCCACCTGCACCGTAGATCCAGCTGGGGCTTGAGATCACACCACACCAGCGTCCCCTGGCTGGTTTCTGCTGCCACGTGACACATTACCTCCAAGCCCACAGCTCCAATTCCTCACTCCCTGGCACTGGGACTCCAGGGCCCAGCTCCATCCGTCCCTTGTGGTGGCCCTTTCCCACACATGCTGTCTCCATCCCACCACGCTGGGTCCTGGGGCCATTCTGCACTTTGATCCTCAAAAGTTATCATTTGCTCTTCACTGCATACAGCTCCCTTTAACCTGTCCGTTTCCATATGTGGGTTTTCTTTTAAATTCTTCGAACTCCTGGTTGATGCTGACCGCAGTGTGCACTGGCTTCATGGGTGGTGCCTCTTCACATCTACTCGCAGATACTAAACACACTTGGTGCTCCACTGACTCTGTTTCCTTGGGTGTGAGCTCCTCTCTCCGTTGACTTCATGGCCTCTTTCATGAGGCTGGTCCTCATCAGGGTTTGGGTGGCTCTGCCTTCATTACAGAGAGGAGGATGGTGCAGGGCCGACTGTCCTGGGGCCTCAGCCAACGACCCCTGAATCACCCCAAGGCCACCTTCTGCTCCCCGGTTCCACCCACTCCTGGTGGGACCTGCCTGACTTTCCGAGGCACAAGCCAGGCGCCTGCTGGGCGCTCATGGCCTCTGACCATCCCGTCTGTGTGCCACCGCTCAGAGTCTGTCCCGTTGCTGTCCACAGCTGTCCAGCACAGCCGTGTCACTGTGTGGGTTTAATTCAGGGGAGGGAAACGCTGAGCAAGTGCTTGCCTCACCAGCCGCAGTGAGAACCCGATCCCTGAACAGGAAAATCAGATCAGGTGACTGACGAGCCTCACGAGCCTCACGTGCCAGCAGGTGCTGTGTGACCTCGGGCAAGCATCCTCTCCCTCTCAATCCCAAGTTCCTCACTGAAAACAAAAACAACCTGAGAAGTTTGAGAGAAGAACTGTCTATGACCTCATCTGGCTGGGACGTCCAACCACCTGGCAGACGAACACACCCCTGCACCTGCTCCAGACACTGGCTTCACCAGTCACGTTGTAACAGCCAGGCTTTCACTCAAGAGGCCAGTCTCTGTCAGGACTTCCCAAAAATGGACAGTGCATGGAAAGACATAAAATACTCCTAAAATACTCTTTGTGTACTCCTTCTGTATTTTGTGTTCTAAATTTGATAATCGCCATTTTTCAATTCACTTGAAAAGCTGTATTTACACGTCTACTTCTCTGGATTTTAAGGCAGTGGGGACAGGGATGGTGCTGTGCCCTGTACTGACCTTTCTAGTCTCAGCTCCTGGCCCAGGACTTGTATGTAGGAGGCGCAGCAAATGCCAGGGGAAGGAAGTAGGGATGTGTGGAAATCCTAAACCATCTGGCTTTTCTAGTATTCTAGGAAAACAGCCACTTCCTGGAAAATGTTGCCTTGTGCTTCCTGTTTGGAGTTGGGGGGACATGGCTAAAGACACCTGCTGAATTTCTGCATCTGCGTGTCAGGGTCAGTGCTGCGGGCAGAGCGGGGACAGACACCTGCTGCCCCCAAGCTCTCCGGAGCCTCGTTCCAACCCGAGGCCACCTGCTCCTGTTTGCACAACGGGAGACAAAGCAGCAGGGTTTTCTTCCAAAGCCTGGTTGGTGGATGTTCGTGAAGATGGTCTAATGGCGTCACCCAACCTTCGCCCCCGGTTCCACCGCTTGGTACCTGAAGCAGAACGTCAAACCTACAGCAATGCTTTTTCTTCTAAACAGAAACCTCCTTCTGTCAGAGGCCCGAGGTGTGAGACGGAGACGCCCTCTTTCTCTTGAGGGCAGTGGAGGGCAAGTGTGTTTAGATACGTAACGAGGAGTGGGAAGGATGCTGTGTGGCTCCCAGACCACGCACACATGCTGGCCCTGCCGGGGAGGACCAGGCTTGTCTCCCGGCCCCACTGCCCAGGAGAGGGGGATGGTGGGGAATGCATGGCATCTGTCTCCCAGGCCCCTGCAGCCCCCACCCCAGCAGCAAACTTCACCATTTGTGACCCATCACCATGCAGCAAGTCACCCCAAAACAGCCACAACGTGAACCCACAGGTTCAAGCAAACATTCACAGACTCAGACTTGGTGTGTGTCAGGAATCCCTGGCAGGGCTTTCATGGGTCTCTCACAGACGACCTCCCTGTAAGGCCCTCGCCCACACAGCTAGCTCCGTCAGAGTGGCGTGGAGAAGGGTGCAGGGTGTGTGTGTGACTTGGAGGCCAGGCTTGGTGATCCAACCCCATGAGTCCCACCACTCTGCTGCCTACGTTCACTAGAAGCACGTCACCAGGTCCGGCTGGCACCCAGAGGAGGGGTCACGCAGGGGCACGGGTGCCAGAAGGTGGCCCCTTTGGGAACCACATTCCACCTAAGGCTGCTCCCCACCTACCCCACCCCCACCCTGCACACTATGACCTTCGGTACTCTCGGGCCCCAAACTTCTCTGCCAGGGCAGCCAGGCACCTGCTGCAATGCTTGGGTGCAGGGCTTGCTTCCTGCAGGCCCCACCCTCCAACTGTGTCCTGCTTCCCACATTCAGCCTGGGAGGGGACGCGCAAGGCCAGGAAACTGTCCAGACATCCCGGGGGTGAGATGACCCGCTCCATGGGCTCACCCACAGAAATGGCTCTCAGCACGACCCACTGTCCCCATCACCCCCAGGGCCCCCCTCTCCCGAGGCCACATTAACCTCCATCAGATAATTACGGGCTTGGCTCCACGCGGGAGAACTTCGCCCTCCTGCTAGCCTCTGACTGACAGAGTCTAATGAAATGTTCAAACAGAGAACGCTCAACGGCTCCTCGCTTTTGTCATGACATCACTCGATGCTGGCCCTACTGCCCAACTGCTGTGGCGTCACGGTCGATCTTCACAGGCCCGGCAGGCAGTGCGAGCTTCAGGGGAACTGTCCAAGTGCTCTCCCTTGCCTTGATAGCCTCTCACTCCCAGGACAAATTGTCGTGTGTACCGGAGGAGGATAGGGTTAGAAATCAATGTTCCCCTCAAATGGCCCAGTAGCCAAGGACAGTGGGATGGTCCCTGACCCTGGGGTCAGGGGTCAGGCTGGGCCCCACCCCCGAGGGCATGGACAAGGGCTCCTCCAATCACGGCAGCCGCCCCTGGAGACCTTGTGCTGGGACCCCTCTCCACCTCTGTCCCAGTCCGCAGACTGAGCTCTGCTGCACGGCACCCAGTGGAGGTTTGCTGCACCCGAGGC